CCTCCCCTGACTCTTCGGCTCTGTTTGAGAGCCGAGCTGCCCGAGCGCTACTGGCTTCGGGCAGCCCCCTTGCCTCCGGACCCTGCGCCCCCGGAAGCGGTATTTTTCCCGGACTTGTTCGGCTTTTTGGCAATTCCCCCCAGACAGGGGTTTGATTACCAAAAAGCCGGACATGTCCGGGAAAAACCGGACGTATGGTAACCCTACAGATGGCTGAGCTGTCAGACCAAGCTTCTAAGCACCTCAACCAGGCAGTCTGATATCAACAGGCTGGGCCCTGGGCCTTGCCTGGGGCCGGTACATGATGCTAAAGCAATAGGAAACAATAGACTCCTAAACTACCTGGCATGAAAGCCTTGGACTTTTGTTAGCAAAGCGTGGGTGATTTCAGAACCCAAGCCCTGTGAAAATTGGCTGTCGGATTCAGGACCAGAGAAGCGTGTTTGGTGCAGAGACAAAGAGCAGTTGCCTTAGTGGAACTGACCATGGCTTTGGGCTGGGAGGAGATCTGGGAACGGATCGTTCTGGCTACCCCTCCCCCCGCTGCCGTGAAAAATCAGTTCAATCCCAACTTGTTTGATTGCTGAGTGAAAGGTGCTGGCCCGGTGGCCCTGAGTGGCAGAACAGCGACGGCATTGGAGGCAGCGGCAGCAGCAGCGTGAGTTTTCCCCAGGTTGCTACTCGGCCTCTGCCGTAACCCGAAGATGCCAAGACTGCTATCCCACCCCCACTAGAGCACAGGGGAGGAGGACAGTCTGCATATAAAACTACTCTCTAGAATCTGCTGCCGAGCATCTCCTCTGCTGGGGAGTGCTGGAACACAGTGGCAATTATGGGGGGCAAGGTCTCCTAGCCCTGGGGATGCAGGAGGAAGGGGGGTACAGTTATAGGGCGCAGGAGCAGTCTACCTGGATAGCTCCTGCCTACGCTCTGCTCTGCTGATTTCCCTCCAGGTTACATGGTTGCAGCTGGGTCCCAGTGCCGCTGCACCGAAGCATGAGCCACAGAAGGGGCTTGGGAGAGCAACCGTGGCTTTGAACAGTGGTCACTCCCCGTTAGATCACTGCATGGGACCCCGAAGTGTCTCCAGGGGACAGTGCCATAGAGCCCAGCCGCTCCCGGCCCTGAAACTCGACAGAGCCCTTCAGGGCCGCCCAGAGGGGCGGGCAAGTGGGGCAATTTGCCCCAGGCCCCCACGAGAGTTTTTCGGGGCCCCTGGAGCGAGGTCCTTCACTTGCTCCGGGGGCCCCGGAAAACTCTCATGGTGCCCGGGCCCCCGGAGCTTCTTCCGCTCCGGGTCTTCGGCGGCAGTTCGGCGGTGGGGGGTCCTTCCGCCCCGGGACCCGCCGCCGAAGCGCCGGGTCTTCAGCTGCAATTCAGCAGTGGGAAGACCCCAGGCCCCCTGAATCCTCTGGGCGGCCCTGGAGCCCTTTCCAGGCAAAGCGCAAGGTGGAAGGAATTGTGCTGTGGGGAGGGAGGAGCGCTAGAGACACCAAATTCCCACACACCATCCCTTCAGCACAGACAGGGAGATCCACAGACCGAGGGAT